TTTCAAATCTGAGCCCATAACTTATGTTGTTCATCTAGATACTTCCAAGCAATTTTCTTGAGGGTATGATTTGCTAAATTTAAATTGCAATGTCTTACTTTCTCTTCTTCAATCATTATTAATGATAATTTTCAGCATACTATATAAAGTTTACAAGTATATTATGAAAAACATGTTATAAAGTGTTATAAACATTTTTTATATTGATGATGGGAATTCAACCCCCTATCGGGCCAGGTTGTTCTATATCCTATACCTAATCAATGGGTCAATGCCCCAATGGGTTACTAAAATGATGCACATGGGGTCCATTGAGACAATGTGCAGAAGGTGAGATTGGATTTGTTTCTCGTAGAACGCATCTCATACCAACCTTACAGTGCTTTGTAGGCATGTACTGAGAATATTTCTCGTGTTTGATGTTATCCATAGGAAAATGTTCCTTATACACAGCTAGAATGCACTGTGAGGTTGGTGTGAGGAGCAAATCTGAATTTGTAGAGGGCCAACCGTTTTAATCTGAACTAGCGCCTTTATAACCACCTCATTACAATCAGAAGTTAATATGCAGACTATAACTAATCCTACTAATAATTCTAACTCAACTTGCAGACCCAAACCCTATAAATAAGGTCAGGTCGGCTTGGCCAGTTGGCCTGGATCATTAACAGCCCCAGATCAACTGGCTCAAGTTGTGGCTTGGCCCCTAGATTATGAATTTGGTTTGGCTGAGCGCTATTGCTGTTCAACAAGCTGTAGAGCCAATAACAACGTTTCATGTCAATAATAAATTTATGAGTTACGTTGTAAAAGATTTAGTTCAATGTATTTTATTAAATACACTGGTTCCACGGCTGTTGAACAGCCATCATGTTTAGCTAATCCTTACTCCTATAATATTACTTGGGTTTAGGCAATTGATGAGAGGAATAAAAATACAGGTGAAGGAATTATGGGCTAAGTTTATGATACAAATCAAATTTAGGTGATGTTTGATAACACATTTTAATGTCTAACATTCTAAAAAGTAAACACTTGCTTTTTTCAAATGTTGTAGGCATTTTACGTGGTCTCACATCTAACCTTTGAACACAGGCATGGACTCACGTTTAACCGATTTCAGAAACATTTTAAAGGCGATGAAACCATTAACGTCATTTATTTAATAATAATAATAATAATAATAATAATAATTAAATGTTTAATAATATATTTTTATTTTAATAAACAATTTTTAAATAATGTTGTTATTTAATATTATTTTTGTTGTTTTCAATATTATATATCAATCAATTTCCAGAGATAAAATAATAAATTAAAAAATTTCAGATGTCGGAGAATTTCATCCAACTCAAACCGTCTTATATTTTTGGATCCTCTAAAACGTAAGAATTCATTTATATTTATTTTCAAATTTTAGAGCTAAATAATAACTTTTTTTTAACTTTTCATATATCAGATCAAATGCCTCTTATTTGACACATGCAATTAGGCTTATCTTTTCATCCTTATCTTGCATTTTTTTTTTCATGGTTTACAGATCGGTCGCTATCATTTAAGTGAAATCATTAGACATTCAATCTCTACCATTTTTATCAGTTTGGAGACGCAATCTCTTGAATAAGACTCACTTAGAGAGATCTAGATCTCTGTGACGGTTTTGTAATACTTTGGGACTTGGGAATATTTTTTTATGAATTTAACATAACTTTATAAAAGATATTCTTAATGTACGGCTCATATAAGCAGAGATTTTATTTATCCCTATCTAAGCTCTTGTGGTGGGGACATCTGTCACCCCATTCAACGCTTAGAGATCTCTTTAGTCTGTTTGTGTTATTTTACCCAATTTTCATGGATAAGTAGATAACAAAGAGAATGGGCGAGTCAGAAGATCACTGCTCACTGGTTTGGTTTTAGTGGTCTCAGCAATTTTTCCATCTTACGGTTCCCATTCACGCCCACCCTCCCCACGAAACCAAGTGCTTGTAGATAAAATAGTTGGTTTTTCTGATACAATCATGGTTAATAGGAACTTTCATTTCTGTACTAATCTACGTTCAGGTTCTATACACGTGTACAAGGGAAACTGTACAAATCGCCGTTAGCTTGATCGGTAGAACTGTCCTCATACGATGGCATACTAAATTCAATGTTTTCAAATCGCCGTTAGCTTGATCGGTAGAACTGTCCAAACCGTCATTCAGTCCGGATTTCGAATCCGATTCAGTCAACACCCCCAGATGGTAAAAAACGTTTGACTTAATCAATTATTATTTGACTCGGTCAGTTTGATCTTTGATCTATTTAACCGAGTGATAGAGTTGCGGGTTATACGTGGATACAAATTTTCGGACTATATAACTTTTGCACTATGATATTTGATATTTGATTGGAGTGATTTTTTCTTTTTTTTTAGATAATTTTTCGAGATCTATGTGTCTCAAGGTGTTATATGCGCCTTGCCCCACTATTTTCGTAAAAAAACCTCTTTTTAGGATCGAGTTGATTCAGATCGGATCAATCACAATCAGACCCCGGTTAGATTCAATTATTGAAACTTTTGACTCTGAATCGGATTTGGATTTAATTCGAATATAGTCAATCTTACCTTATTGAGGTTTAACATTCGAAAATCTTGATCCCAATCAGGCATAAGGGTTTGTGTAATTTCGGTTTGGATATTCTGTGTTTTCTTTATTACAACTTCACATATAATCAACTCGAATACATTAACTGAGCAGACATGAATCCACACTATGAGCTAAGCTTAAAAACAAAAGAATGTACACTAATACACTATAATGGTGTTGGTGTTTGGTATCAGCATAATTTTTTTCAAGAAAAATTGTCATGTCAATGCCATGTGTATATTTCAAGTAATTTCTTGTTTGGTTGGGTAAAGTAATTTCTTCACCTTGATTTATGTGAAAATTATTTTTCTAAAAGTAGTCTTTTTTTTTTTTCACATTTCAACTTTTCTACCAATTTTTTTAGAGATGCCTCTCACAACAGTTTTCATACCAAATACCGCCTATAAGATCCAACTACCATCGAAACCTGATTTGTATATCGATATAAAAGAATTTAGACCTTGTTCGGTTCGTGGGAATAGGGGTTTGAATTCGRAATTAGAATAGATTATTCTGATTTCATCTGTTTAGTTGGACAGAATCGGAATTCCATTCTCTCATTTGAGAGAATAATCATTCACTCTTCCTCCCTTGGAAATGAAATCCCATTCCTGTTTAAACCAAATGGGTTATGAGAATAGACCATTCCATTTTCGATTTCAAAAAATTTTGATTCTGATTATAAACCAAACAAACCCTTAATTAGATGTGCTCCAAATCCGAC